TTAGCATCTTCAAAGTTCAAAATCAACCCTTTGGTTTGTTATTTAGAAATAAACCAGCTACTAGTGGAAATCTTTTACATTGGATTAATATGTTCTCAACAGTCATTGTTGCTTAATACTTCTTTAGAAAAAAAAATCTCAGATGTAATGAATTGCAGTGATCTGATCTGAACTTTACCAAGACATAGATATCTGTTGCTAGATTAGATCTATGACTGGATAAATTTCTGCTTAAATGCTTCTATAAGTAAATCTGATTTGCTTGCCCTTTTAAAACAAATGGTCCCTCTTGATGTAGAAAACCTTGAATAGAGATCTCTTGTAGCAATTATACATGAAAGATATTTTCCCACCAGTTAATATTTGTGACAGTTTTTAAAGACATAAATTTATGTAGGTTTTTTCTGATTTGAATTTTAAAATGCATTATCTGCCAAGCAAAATATATCAGAATTAAAATCCGGGAAATTAAAAATTTTGGGAGTGCCATTCTTGTAATGTTACTGTTGTTATATGAATATTTAAAAAATATTTCAGTTTTAGTTTTGTTATTTGACTTCAAACAACAATTTCTTATAGTTTCAAAACAATATCTAACAGTAGAAGTTGGAAAGTAGAGTTGCATCTAGAAAATAAAAATAAAAAATAAAATCTCTTTATTGGCAAAAAGTTTGAACTTTGAACATTTAAAATGTTCTTGCTCTGCCTTTATCTATAATAACAATTTTCATACAGTCTGGATAATTTTGACAAATATTCCAGTGAATCATTTTGGTAATTGTGTTATGTTGCTCTTTTTAATCTGTGAGAGCTTCCAGCACAAGCTATGATCAACTTTTAATTGATAATTAATATTTAATAATTTATTTTCAATTATTTTATTATTGTTATCACTAGTTCAGTTTAAATCAGTGTGGGAAAAATATTTTGGAAAACGATTGGCAATGGATGAGCTCCCTTCCAAAATATATTGGAATAGACTTTACTTCAGCCCTGTGTCCTGATCTGGTTTGTGAGCTGAGTTTTGCTTTCCTGTCCCCCCTCCTCCCCTTTCAAGCAAGTCTCTGTTTGGGCCTCTGTTAATCTCTTTCTTCATTTTTGTGGTTGAGCGATACAGTTACTTTAGGTCAAATCGGATTATTCATGCTTTTGGATACCATTTTTAAAATGGTATATGCTATCTTCCGGGGGGGGGGGAGCAGGACTCTGTTATTTTTTTTAAATGTTAAGGCATAATTATTTTTTACTCTGGGAGAATTTTAAGGGGGTAAATATGTAAACGGGAAATCTGTTTGTGGGTACAAAGGAAGTAATGAAGATACAAAAGAATGAAAACAAGATAAATGAGCATGCAAAGATATAAAAAAAATAATCTCTAAGTAAGTGTTTATCATATTTGTTCCCTAAGAGGTATATTTTTATAAATTCATTAAACAAGAAAAATAAAGCTTTGGGGTCATTTCTTCAGGCTGAAGATAGCAATGAATTTATTATTTTTGAAAATCGCTAGCCGTATGTTGTGTAGACCTAATTTAGAGGGACTAGAAAATATACATTAGGCTGGGCCTGTCTTTAGACCAGTTTATTACCCATTTCTATAAATTTTTTATTTTTATTTATTTTATTTATTAAATTTATATGCCACTCATCTTGCTTTCCAATGCAAGTCCGGAGGTTTACAATGCAATAAAAATATAAATGCAAACACAATTTACACATTTAAAATTTAACTTTAAATTATAAACTTTAAAAGAGTTAAATGCAGACTGAAAACCAAGAGATTTTCTCTGAGTTTGGTGTATTTGTTTTTCTCTGAGTTTGGTGTTTAATTACCAAACCAGGTAACATTGTCAGCACAGAAGATGTTACCTAGTTTGGTAATGAAATGTCTGTAAGAAAACAACCAACTTCAGAGACCACAAGGATCCCACAGTTCAACCCCAAGCTACAATTATTTTCTTCCCTCAGTGAAAACCAGGACCTCAAATGGTATGGAAGTGCCTTCTCTGTCACTGCACAACCATGCCTTCATTAGTGCTCCAAGCCAACTGGCAGAGCCAGGTTTTAAGGCTGTTCCAGAAGGCCAGAATGGTGGGGGCAGATTTCAGCTTTAGCAGCAAGATGTACCAAAGGTGAGGGCTATGGCAGAAAAGGCTTTTTTCCTAGATCCTTCCAGCTGAAATTCCTTGACTGACAGAGTCCACAGCATGTCCCTTCTTTTAGAATGAGTGGGACAGGCCAATCCATTGGGCCAAGATGAGTCCCCAGATACTCTGGACCCATGCCATAAAGGGCTTTGCAGGCAATAATTAACACCTTGAATTGGACCCTGAAGCAGATTTGCAAGATTATGGCAAGTGATGACTGAGAAGAATAGCAAGAGTGGAAGGAGGTGAAGACTTACTGCATAAAGATTTTCTTGAAGAGAGGAAAACCTTCCTTGTTCTCTTTCTTCTCCCCCCATTTTAGGCACCTGGGAGTTTTTGTTAGGTTTGCATTGTTAAGTGAATTATTCTGATTTATGCTTCCAGAGCTAATCCACAATCTGTGTACATTTGTTTTGTTTTTCCTTTGCATTTTACAATGCACGCCTCAGCTAAAAAAAAAAAGTGTGAGAAAGGCTAGCCTGAAAACAAAAACTGTGGTTTCAGGTGACAGCACTGTTTAATTTAAATGCATACAAAATGTGTATTTTCTCTGTTACAAAGGTCAAACATTCTAGTATGTTTCTTGTTTGAAGGAGATTCATTGCGGAGTGTTTATGTAAGAATGCCTGTGTTTTCGACAAGGACTAAAGTAGACTAATCTGTCTGTTCTCACAACAAGCCAAGCTCAGATAGGTCTTTGCTTCCTCCAAAGCCTAAAGACCAAATAATTTTTCTTATTTTTGTCCTTTCTGGCAATTCTGTTTGAGAGTGCTTCTTGGAACAATGCCAACTGAAGTAAGTTAGAGAACCAAACTCTAAGAGAATTATGTTGTAACTTAGAAAAATTATATGACAATTCTGTTCCCTTCCTTTTTCCCCACCCTCAGCCTTCACTTAGCCTTGTGGAAATCTTGACAGCAGTTGGAAAATTATTACTGTTATTTTACACTGTGTGCAGGCTACAAGATTCAGAATATGGGTTATAGTTGACATTTTGGCTCTCTGCAGGAGTGCCTAGTTGGTGGAATTTTGTTCCTTCATTCATTTTGCCACTAGTAACTTCTAGAGTCATCCCACAATCATTGTGCTAAAAACAGTAACAGGCTTTACATCACTTTAGCAAACTTAAGGTCTCTGTTAGTTATGAGTGGAGAAAATAGTCAATATAGTATTTGTACATAATATTAAGCAGAATTTTTAAAACCATTACTTGTTGAGTAAGCCAAAATAAGCCACTTTCTTGTTTAGGTTAATGAATTAACTGGATTACTAACTGTTGACTGAGATCACTTTATGAGACCTTTGTGCCAGTTCTGCTGTGTTTAAGCACTCTTAGACAGTTTATTTCTGGATGTACTGCATTATCTTGAAAATGGTAAAAAAAATGTGTTTCTGGAGATATTTCCCTATTTAAAGAAATCACAACTTTACCATACCATCTTGATTATCAAATGCAAAAAAAGGATAAAATACACGTGCCATTCATAAAACCAGAATCTTAATAGAAGAAATGAAAAATATAAAAAGTTTTAGTCTCTTCCTGATGTAGAGCAAAGAAGGAAGTAATCTGCACTTCAGGGCCACAGGAATTCCACAAGATAAATGCCACCCTCCTATATTGGATGTTTTTCCAAGGGATCATGTGCAGTAAATCCTCTGAAGATAATTGGAGTTCTCAGTTAGCTATATGAAGAAAACTCCTTCAGGTAAACTGAACCAAATGTATTTAAGGGTGTATATGTCAAAACTAGGACTTTGAACAAAACCTTTAATTTTACTGACAAGTAACAAAAGAATCAATAAAGGTGCTATTCAAGCTAAGCAGCAAATCTGGAGACTGTCAGAGTGGCCAACTGAGTGGAAGTAGACAATCTACATTCCAATACCAAAAGAGTCTTTACAGAGTGTGCAAATTATTGTACAATATTTTTAGTTTCATGTACTAGCAAAATAATATCAAGGATTACCCAATGTAGATTAGAGCTGTACCTGGAAAAAGAGATGGCAGATGTTCAAACCGGCTTTAGAAAAGATTGATGAATATTAGACATTATACAGTAGCTGATGTCCGCTGAATAATTGAGAAAGCCACTGTGTTTCATTGATTATAGAAATGCTGTCAATTTGTGTTGATCACATTACGCTGTAGAATGTTCTAAGAAAAATGGAAATCCCAGTACATCTTGTTCTATTGAGAAAGATACGTATAGATCAGGAATTTACAGTACGGACATAACATGGTAAAACAAACTGGCGCCAAATTGGCAAAGGAGTGTAACAAGATTGTATCCTCTCCTCTTATTTATTCAGTCTATATAGTGCATACCTATTAAAAGTAGCTGGATTGGAATTAAATGAGCATGGTTTTAAAACTAGAAAAAAACATCAATAACTTGCATTATGCTGATGACACTGTTCTGATAGCTGAAAATGCAAAGGGTCTGCAGGCCCTGGTAACACAAGTTAAGGCGAAAATGAAGAAAATCATTATCAAGAACATAAATGACATCAGGTGATAAAGATAAAGAAGAGATAGATAGCTTCTGCCTACTTGGATCAACTATCAATAATAATGGAAGGAAACTGGAGAAATATGCTGCAAATTAGCTGGAAGGGACCTTGGAGGTCTTCTAGTCCAACCCCCTGCTCAAGCAGGAGTCCCTATAGCATTTCAGACAAGATGATAGTGAAGGGAAAAAAATATTGTTTTATCCGTTCCCTAGTTCCCTGTCTCATGCAGACATTGAACATTTCTACAAAATAGCAGAAAGGTATATATTTACAAAGTGATACTGATTCAGAGTAATATTGTTCAGCTTGGTTGCAAAACTGTTATTCTGCTACTGCCCCCAGGGAAAGCTCCATTCTGAAAATCGCATCACTGCTGATGAGATCTGGAATGAAATGACGTTTTGACTGGCAATTTATAGCTGTGATCCAAAAAGTGGTTCAGTTAGAGAACTGCTACTATGCCTTGGGATGAAATTAAATTAAAGGAGAGGGGAGTCCAATGTACTTATTCAAGAAGAGAGAGAGACTTGTGGCATTTTTCAAGGATTCAGTGCTCTGCCCTCACTGCCATCCTAAAAACATCCTGCTGTACACAGGTAATACTGACTCTGCATGAGGTGTGGAAGCAATTAGCTTGTACTGAGATACAGCAATATCCAGAAGATGCCTGTTGAATCCTGGTGTATGTGGCTGAAGTTGAACATGGGATGATAATATGCTGAGTCAGACTATTGCTTTGCACATCGCTCAGTTTTGCATTTACAATCATTAGAAGTAACTTCCCAAAGTTTTAGAATGAATGATTGCCCCAAAATTGGAGGAACAAAATCCAGAATCTTTTACAAACAAAACAGTCTTTAGTCAAATTTATTAGCTGCCCAGTTCCAATGAACATGCTGTGCTATTGTACAACCAACAATAGTTTTTCCAAATATATCTATCTCCAAATTCATGACTTTAAAAAATACAATGCTTTTACATCTGTTATACAGTTTGGATCTTAAAATGTGTTTAAACCTGTTGGAATACTAAATCAAGTTTGAAAGAATGTATAGGGATATATTACTATGTTGTGGATTACACGTGTATTTTAATTTACATAAATGCCTGAACTGTTTCTTTTACACTTTTTAAAAAAGTTTCAAATCAGTTTGTTCAACTGCTTTAAAAGTTACTGCAATATTTTACAAAAAAGAGCTGAAATATGTACGTAAGAAAGATAGTTTCCTGCTTCATTAATGAAATCTGATTTAAACTTATCAAGACAGAGGTGGAAAAGAAATACACTAGACAGATAAAATAGCTATGAGAACAACCCCCACACTCTGTATAAATATTAAGAGGCTAAATTAATAAATGTAGTTGGGCAGATTAACCAAACATTCTTCTGGTGTTCACATAACACATTATTTTATGGCATAAGTAATGGCTTGGTTTTTGGTTCACACAACATGCTGACCAAATCCATTATAGCCTAGGGAGTATCCATCCATATCATTACTATTGTTTTATATTATGAAACTCCAGAAGTTATTATGTTAACATATTTATGGGAACTTGTTTGATAATACAAGGAGATTTCACTGCTTTTTATTTGCACTGTATTTTTAGAGAGCCATTTTAGAGCTTTATAAAATAATAGAATCACTCAATTAATTTTGTTTACTTACTAAATTTAGAAACTGACCATTTTATTCATAGAGTGACTCTTTTTTTAACAAATATTTTACTGAGTTTTTTAAGGGTAACAAGGGAATAGGGTCAACAGAGGTAGAACAAAGGGAGACATACAAAAGGGTTAAACCAAAGAAAGGGGGTAAACACAAAAGTGAGATCAATCCCACAAACTAACATCGCTTCAGCAAGTAAACCCATCCGGGTATACATATTAAATCTTAATAATTACTCTAGTATTAAACAGCTTTCAAATTAGTCATGTAAATAACAAGTTAATCAATATATCTCATTCATTTTACTAATTAACAATGCTTAATACTAATTAGTTGTAATAACTTTAAAATAGTAATATATTACTTATTGGTTATAACAGTGGTTCTCAACCTTTTTAATGCCGCAACCCCCAACCGGTCGTAAGTCGAGGACTACTCAACCGGATGTAAGTCGAGGACTACTCAACTGGTGCAGCACCGTTTGCAGAATGGGACTTTTGGCGGGCTCAGCAGGGCAGAGACAGGTTGAGAACCACTGGGTTATAATTTACTATATATCACAAATACGAAAAAAAGAAAAAAACAGAAAAAGACAAGTTCATACAAATAATCATGAAATATAAATACAAATTATCAATTATCTCTTTAAGTTTCATTACCTTTTCTCATTCTATCGTATTGCTAACCATTGGTAAAATTTTTCCCGTGTTTTAAAATAAATTGTATCATTCTCTTTTATTTCTAAAGTTAATCTATCCATTTCTGCACATTCAAGTATTTTTGTTATTATAATCTGATCAGATGGTAAATTTTCATTTTTCCAAAATTGGGCAAATATTATTCTCACGGCTGTTAACACATGTAATATTAAATACTCATTTTCTTTTCCATAATTCAAGCCTAATATTCCTAGCAAACAGAGTTCTGGTTTAAATTCTATCTGTATTTTAATCTTCTTTTCTAGCCACGTATGAATCTTAAACCAAAATTTCTTAGCATTAGGGCATATCCACCAGAGATGGTAATAAGTGCCTGGTTGTTTACATTTCCAACACATATTTGATACATTTTTAAATATTTTCTCTAATCTAACTGGTGTCATGTACCATCTATAAAACATTTTATATAAATTTTCCTTATATGCAGCTGCTTTAGTAAGTTTAATATTTCGGTCCCATAGTTTTTGCCAATCTTCTAAATCTATAGAATAATCAAAATTCTTTGCCCACACTATCATTGTTTCTTTCACTTGTTCTTTTTCCATCTTCCAGTTTAACAAAAATTTATAGAGTTTCTTAATCAAATTTTCATCTGTTTTCAAGAGTATTTTATCTAATGGTGTCTGTTCTTTGTAAAATCCCATTACTTTTACATCTTTTTCATATCTTGTTTGAATTTGCAAATATGACCACCATGTTAAATCAATACCATTTTGTTGAAGATCTTGCCTATCTTTAAGTTTTTCTTCTTTATCTAAAATATCTTTATAGACCACAAGTTTATCATAGTTAATTAAGTTCGGATATGCAAATCCTTCCATTGTTGAAAGCCACTCAGGTATTTTCATATAAATTTTATTTTTAATTCTCTCTCACTCTGAGAGTAGTACATTCCTTATAGTGTGAGTTTGAAAGCATTTATGTACTTTATTTTCTCATACCATAGGAAAGCGTGCCAACCCAGTTGCAAATCATGTCCCTCTAAATAAAGAAGTCATTTATTTTTCAATGTAATCCATTCTTTAAGCCACAACAAAATAGTGGCTTGGTAGTGGAGTCTCCAGTCTGGGAGCCCAAAGCCCCCTCTGTCTTTTGAGTCTTGTAACAGTTTAATTTTAATTCTTGCTTTTTTCATTTGCCATATAAATCTCATTATTGTTGCATTTAAATCATCAAAAAATTTCTGGCTTAGTTTGACAGGAACCATATGAAATAAAAATAGCAGTTTAGGTAAGATATTCATCTTAACAGTCGCTATCCTTCCTAATAGAGATAATTGAAAGTTTTTCTACTTCTCCAAATCTGTTTTTATTTGTTTCAATAGTCTTTCATAGTTGTCTTTCTTCTTTTATTGTTGTATATTTTGATGTTAAATAGATACCTAGATATTTAACTTTTTTGGCTATTTGGAGATTTGTTTTTTCCACAAATTGAGCTTTCTGTTTTTCTGTTAGATTTCTTGTAAGTACTTTAGTCTTTTTCCTATTTATTTTCAACCCAGCCACTTCTCCAACTTCCTCTATTTTCTGCAACAGTTTAGTGGCTGTTTCCAAAGGCTCCTCCAAGATAAAGATCCCAATCATCTGCAACAGCTTGTAATTTATATTTCTGGTCTTTGATCTCCAGCCCTTTTGATCTCCACATCTTGTCTAATATTCCTGGCCAGCACTTCCAATGTAAGAATAAATAACAAGGGAGACAATGGGAATCCCTGTCTTGTGCCTTTTTTAATATCGAAAGTATCTGTATAGTCTCCATTTAAAAGTATCTTTGCTGATTGTTTATTGTAAATTGCTTGAATTGCGTTTATAAAATTTTCACCAAAATCCATCACTTGCAGCTGATGAAACAAAAATTGCCAATTAAGATTATCAAAGGCTTTTTGTGCATCCAAAAATATCAGTGCCATTTGTTTCCCCAGATGTTTTTCATAATATTCTAACACATTTAAAATAATTCTTAAATTGTTCTTTATCTGTCTTTTAGGCAGAAAACCATTTTGATCTGAATGGATAAATTCATTCAAAAATTTCTTCATTCTTTCCGCTATTATTGCTGTAAATATTTTATAGTCCACATTTAATAGTGATATTGGCCTGTAGTTTTTAATTTGTGTGAGATCAGTATCATCTTTAGGTATAAGAGAAATATTGGCTTCTGTCCAGGATTTTGGTATTTTCATCACCCAAAAAGTTTCATTACAAAGATCTTTCAATATCGGGCTTATTATATCTTGTAATGCTACATAAAATTCCACTGGGAGACTATCGGGTCCTGGAGTTTTATCTTTTTTTTGTCTTTTTATAGCCTCTGTAATTTCCATCATTGTTATTTTCTCGTTCAACATATGTTACATGTTCTCTGGTATCTTTGGGAGGTTTGCTTTTCTTAGATATTCCTGTATTGCCTCCTTAGAAACCACCTCCACCTTGTAAAGTATCTCATAATAACTTTTAACATTTTTTTTCAGTGCATCATTATGACAATGTATTTCGCCTTTTGAATCTTGTAATTTACCTATTAGTTTTTTTTCTCTTTCTTTTTTCAGTCTATATACAAGCCATCTTCCTGGTTTGTTGGCATTTTCAAAGAAATTCTGTTTTGAGTATTTTATCTGTTGTGCCCTTGTCTCCATCTCCAATAAATTTAGTTTATGTTTTATTAATTCCATTTGTGTCTTCAGCTTCTTCTTTTGTGGATCATTTTGTAACTCAAGTTCTAAATTCTTAAATTGTTCTTTCAAATTAAGCTGTATTTGTCTCTTTTCTTTATTCTTTTTAGCAAGGTAAGTTATAGCCAAGCCTCTAAAATACGCTTTCGCGGTATCCCAAAGATTTTGAATAGAGATTTCTTCTTTCTTATTTATTTTTAAAAAAATTCCATTTCTTTCATTGCAAACTGTAGAAATTCTTTTTCTTTCAGTATTGATTTATTCAATAACCATCTTAATTTTTTCCTGGTTCCTTTCAAAGTCATTTTAATTGGATTATGATCAGCCCAAATATTAGGTTCAATTTCCACCTCTTGTATCATAGTCTTTAAATCATATGAAGTCCATATCATATCAATTCTTGACCAGGATTTATGCCTATTTGAGTAAAATGTATATTGTGCTTTCTCTGGATTCATTTCTCTCCATATGTCTTATATACACAATTCATCTTTCAACTTTAAAAAAGACTTAGGTAAGGTATTTCCCCCTTTTTTCCCTTGTTTATAACTTTTATAGTCCCGTAATGTATCAACTAAAGTCACCAAGTATGCAAAGATTTTGACAATTTAGTTCCATTAGTTTATTATATAATTGCTGAAAAAAAAGATCCTGTTTCTCATTGGGAGCATATATTGCAACCATCAAGATTTGTTTTTGATCCCATGTAATTTCCACCATTAGTATTCTCCCTTCTTCATCAGCATAAATTTGTTTTGGATTCATCTTTTCTTTTATATAAAATGCTATTCCTCTTTTCTTTTGTTGTGCTAAAGAAAAATAAAGTTTACCTATCTTTGAAAAATAAAGTTTACCTATCTTTGATTGTTCTAAAATTTTGGAATGTTTTCTTTTAATATGTGTCTCCTGAAGACAAATTATGTCCATTTTCAATTTTTGTAGTCTGTTAAGTATTTTACTCCTTTTTGATGGGGAATTAAGATCATTTATATTTATTGAAAAAATTCCAATCTCCTCCATAATTTCAATTATATCTAGACCTCAATCTTCTAGGGGAACTGATCTGTCTCTGGTCTTTCGGTCTTACATCTTCCTCTGATTGCATCTTTTTTGATTCTCCCTCCTCTGATTGTTTTGGTGCTCCTGCACCCATCGTCTCTTCCGATTTCTTGGGTTCGGCATCGCCTTTTTCTAAAAAGGCTCTGTGATTGTTAAAAATTTTCTCTGCTTGAAATGGAGTATCTGTTCTGTATCTTTTTGAGTCCCAGAAGATTACTAATCCTTTTGGGCCAGCCATCTAAAATTCACTCCCTTATTAAAGAATTTTCTCGTTAAGAATTGATATTCTCTTCGCGCTTCTCTTATCCTTCTGGGAATCTGTTTGAGAACTACAAGTTCTTTATTGTTATATTTCAGTGGTTGATCTCTTATCCCTCTCAAGATCTCATCCCGTATAAATCTTTTAAGAAATTTTACATAGACCTCCCTAGGAACTCTATTTCTTCTTGCGTAGATTGAGTTCATTCTGAAAACCTGATCTATTTCTCTTTTCATTAGATCCATTTCCATTCCAAGCAATTCCGCTAATAATTCACTCATCAACTCCAACAAGTTCTCATCTTTCTCTTCTGCAATATTTTGAAATCTTAGAAAATGTGATGCATTATCCATCTCCATCATGGCCATGCTGTCCTCCAATTCCGCATTCGCTTGCGCCAATCTCTGATTTTCCTCTTGCAATGCTTCAATTTTCTGGTCAGCCACCCCTGCCTTATCTTCTATTTTTTTCATTCTTTGTTGAGTGTCTACCATCACCTGTTGAAAGTTGTCCATTTTTTGATCCATTTTAAGAAGATCAATTTTCAAATCTTCATGATTTTTTTCCAAATATTTTTTCATTTCCATTTTCAAATCATCAATATTTTTAGATTGAGCTGAAATTGCTTAGAGTATCGCTTGGGTATCTATCTGATGAGAATCTTGTTGTAAAAAAGTAGTGATTGATTTCTG